TGAAATGCCATCAATTGCAAGTTTAGGTTCAGGTCTACCATCAATTGCATCTATATAATAATAGACACTTAGAATTAGAACTTGAGTTAGGGCTTGATTCATCATAGTTTGTCTTCCAGTTCATGAGAATTTAAGGATTCATGAACCCTTACATTTGAATGTAAACATTGTTATGTATTTGAATGGAACCGATTCCACATATGACGCATGAAGCGACTCCAACACTCTGTTCAAATAAAACCCACAATAACGTCAGAAGGGTAAATTGGGAATTTACTTCATGTCAAATCAAAAGGGGGCTTACTTGAAACGTCGACCAGTAGGGATGAAAAAGAGCAACAATCATTCCCAAAATTGATTTCCAGGAAGACTATCGATTGACATGTAGGCGAAGTAACCCCAAAGAACTGAAGTGGGAATCATTCTGATAGCAGGAATAGCAAAAACTGCAAATCCCACAAGTGTAGATTGAAGTAAATTTGTGACTCGCTGTTCATTGACTCTAACAGGTAAATAAGCCTCTATGTGTTTTTCGGGGTCAAACTTGCATCTTCACACCAAACTGAAACGCAGCTTTTGGCATGGCTTCCTAATGTCGCCCATTCCTCTTCTGTCTCAAAGTCCCACCTATGAAGCCAACCCTTTTCCTGTTTTATACATATTACATAATTAACATATTTCATCTCCCATTAACATACAATTGTAAATGAAAAAAAAAACACTTACTCGACCACCCATATCCATTTTGGATAAATCAGCTTCATCATCACTATCAACAACCTCACGATTATATTCTTGATAACCCGGATAACATTCTGAATAGCTCTCGGATATAAAATTCGGATCTTTCTTACGAGCATATTTTTACCTTAATTGTTGAAGCCTTGTATCATCCCGCTTAAACACCGACCCTAAACCTCTATCTTTCTCTTCTTGTGTCATTAAATGTGGGTCCCCTTCTATGGTCAAACCTCCTTGCATATCATACATTTGACCATCTTGGTGGACATATTGTTCGGGGTACCCCATCGGCTCCACATATTGATACTCCTACTGCCACTCTCCCTGATAGCCTTGTACTTGCATATCATCATACCCATTCTAAAAATTTGGTAAATTGTTAAGCAAGGTGAGGTTAAAATAGTAAATAAAAGTATTTTGCTATTTTTCTCACTGTTTGTTGCCAGTCTTGAGATGGGTCCGAGGGTGGAACAGGGCCATAAGCTGGCTCATTGAAATTGGAAGGTCTCTCTTTTCTTTTAGGAGATTCTTCCATGTCTTCTGACAATGGGCTTTGGCTTATATCTTTACTAGGGACAGAATAGTCAATTCCTTCTCCTACAAAGATGTCATCCTCCTCAACACGAGCAACAGGGGGCTCCACTTCAACTTTCTCTATTTCATCGGAATGATTGCTTCTGGGAGGTGGTGGTGGACCTGGTGGTGGTGGTTACACAATTGTTCTGTTCATTACTTAATTTTCAGATGGCTGCTTCATTCATCAGGTTTTGCAAATCAGCTCCTGTGAAACCTGGTGTTCTCCTAGCAACCTTATCAAAATCCACATCTTTTGCAAGTGATTTTCCCCTTGAATGCACCTGTGCAACATATAAGAAACTTTAGATGCTTTTTTCTTTTTGACTAATTTCATGATCGAACCTGAAGGATCCTGACTCTACCAGCAACATCAGGCCGGTCAACTGTCACCTATCGGTCAAACTGCCCAGGTCTCAACAAATGTTGTTCCCCATTCCCTGAAAATATAATCATTTACAAATTATTAAAAAAAAATAGAAGAAAATAAGCACATTGCTAATATAGGAAAAAAAATACCTGATAATAAAGATCGATATGATCTGAGATAGATGAAATTAATATAAATACTTATAATTTGTTTAGATTTTTGAATGCAATCTTTTCTTTATTTTTAGATGGATTCCACCCAAAGTATCCTTGTTTTTACCTGCTATTAATCTTTACAAATTATTGATGACACAAACTGCTGTGCAATTTTTTTTTTCCCATTTCCTGTACCAAGGGTACTTTAGGTATTTCATATTATGAGTCATCATCTACAACGTTTTTATTAACAAACCAAATTTGGAGGTTTTATTTATCCAACAATCCAAATCAAATTTTATATCATAGCTGAGTTTTTTCAACCCTTGAATGCATGTTTTTATTAACAAACCTGAAACATCTATTTCTGCAGCTTCAACTTCAACTTCAACTTCCTCCTCCACATCTATTTCTGCAGCTGATATCAATGTCACTCCTCTGAGACAGGTACACCATTACAAACTCAACTTAACTTAATAATGTTTTTTAGAACATTTGTGCTAAATGACCACTATACCCTTCTGTTTGTCTAATTCATATGGACTTAATGTGAGTAAATCACCATTTTACCCTTCTTGTTTTGTGTATTTACTTATCGACATAGATATGAACTTCGTTAACAATTGGATCGTCTCAGATCTAGAGAGAGAGAGAGAGAGAGAGAGACGGTCATAATGATCCAGATTTCTGGTGATGGTTACAAACTTCTTTTCTTCAAGAGACTAAACGTGCAACATTTAAACTTATAATGGATAGTCTGAGTTGATTTTTAAAAAATATGAATTTAAACTTATAATGGATAGCCTGAGTTGATTTTAAAAAAATATGAATTTAACGTACAATTTGAAACTTGCATCAGGGACCAACTTTGTAATTTACCCAAAAAAAATATAAAAAATTAAATACTCTTCTACATTTTTTTTACATATCTTTCTACTTATATATAATAATAACATATGGACAATACACCACTAATTTACTTTTAATTACATCTTTTAAAATTGATACTTGTCTTGATATAAATAAAAATATGAAGATATTTAATTTACCACTAATTTACTTTTAATTACATCTTTTAAAATTGATACTTGTCTTGATAGAAATAAAAATATCAAGATATCTCAAAAAATATTGTAAATATGAAGCATGATGACCTCAGACAAAATTCACTTAGACAGTTGTATAAAGGGCTATTTTTAAGTTTAACCATTTTTACCACGATTTCGCCGATTAAATATTGACAAGTTTAAATGTATAGTCATAGAATTTGGAATTTAAGTTTATCAAACTAATTTGACAACTTACATATTTTGGGAAAATCTATCCAGGTAGGTACATGGGTGTCACAAACTAAACATATTGTTGACTTGTTTAATTATTTTGTTAATACGGTTTTTTTACTTAATTTCCTTATTTTATTTGTTAAATTAGTAAATGAACAATATATTATATTTAACTTATAGTTCTAAACCCAAATATGAAATTAATAATATTTAATTTTATATGATCAGTAAACAAAACTTCATCGACCCAACCCAATGATGAATCACATATGAAAAGAATTTTACGAAGTGAGAAGTTATAACTATGACATAAGAAAAAGCCCAAGAAGAAAATATGCCAAATGGCAAATACTAGTTGGCTTGATTGGCTCATGGATAAAGATCGATATGATCTGAGATAGATGAAATTAATATAAATACTTATAATTTGTTTAGATTTTTGAATGCAATCTTTTCTTTATTTTTAGATGGATTCCACCCAAAGTATCCTTGTTTTTACCTGCTATTAATCTTTACAAATTATTGATGACACAAACTGCTGTCCAATTTTTTTTTCCCGTTTCCTGTACCAAGGGTACTTTAGGTATTTCATATTATGAGTCATCATCTACAACGTTTTTATTAACAAACCAGATTTGGAGGTTTTATTTATCCAACAATCCAAATCAAATTTTATATCATAGCTGAGTTTTTTCAACCTTTGAATGCATGTTTTTATTAACAAACCTGAAACATCTATTTCTGCAGCTTCAACTTCAACTTCAACATCCTCCTCCACATCTATTTCTGCAGCTGATATCAATGTCACTCCTCTGAGACAGGTACACCATTACAAACTCAACATAACTTAATAATGTTTTTTAGAACATTTGTGCTAAATGACCACTATACCCTTCTGTTTGTCTAATTCATATGGACTTAATGTGAGTAAATCACCATTTTACCCTTCTTGTTTTGTGTATTTACTTATCGACTGAACGAACTGTCTGAATGCGAGTAGATTACCAATCACAAATCACACTTTTAGAAAGTCAACCATCTTTTGACCTTCTTTTGTCTCTCTTATGTCTTTTTCTTGATTCAAGTCTCTTGTCTCATCATATCTATTTTGATTCAGCCTATTGACATGTTCAACATTTAGGAAAACAAAAATAAAAAAACATGGATTGGTTGTAATTATGAAGATTGATTACAACATTTAGTATCTATACCCAATCTATATGCATGATTAAGATAGTCATATGACAAATAACTAAAATTACAAGAATAAATATTATCCATCTCCAACATTTACCTCCACAATACAATAAGCACAATGAATATACTTTGAAATGTTAATGACTTCATTTTTTTATTAATAGATTATATAACATAGTCACTTGTGTAAACATATTAAAGCTCTATCTTATTCTTTGCTATATGTCTATCACTTAGAATTTATTTGATTACTTTCTCTCCTTTCCGGTTCTTGTTTATTCCCAAGGATTTATTGTCATCCACTTCTTCTTATTTTGTTGTAGCTAGTTTTTATCTAATCTCTATCTAGGTTCTGAATAGTAGTTATATATTTTGTTGTAGCTAGTCATTATGTCAACACGTAGTGATAGAGATTGGATGTACAAAAGGTTAGATCATGGGTATCTTAGCATAGCATATCATGCATCCGTCAAAGGATTTCTAGATGTTGCTTTTTCTAATGAAGCAACTGTTGATGGAGATTATATTAGATGTCCTTGTTTTAAATGCAAGAACATGTATTATAAAACAAGAGGTGATGTAGAGCTTCACTTGTTACAAAACGGTTTCACTCCTAATTACACAACTTGGTGGGCACATGGTGAAAGAAATACGATATCTCAGCATGAGGAAGAATCTTCTAATCCGATGCAGGATCCGATGGAAGATGATGATGATGATGATCTTAATGGGTGTACACAAATGTTGATGGATGTAATGGAGGAACTCCCGAATCCAACTGCCAAGGGGTTCTATGATATGTTAGAAGACGCTGATGAACCTTTGTGGGATGGATGTGAAAATTATTCAAAATTACAAGCTGCAACAGAGTTGTTGCATTGGAAGTCAGAATACAATATATCTGAGGCTGCCTATGATCACATACTTCCTATAATTAAGCGAATGCTACCCAAAGGTGAGAAACTAGTTGAGAACTTCTATGAGACAAAGAAGCTTTTGAAAATAATTAGACTCCCAGAAAAAAAGATTCATGCTTGCAAAAACCATTGCATGATATTCTATGGGGCAGATTCGGATTTGACTAAGTGTCGGTGTGTGATCATGATCGGTACAAGAGTGGCAGACTGCCTTATCTGGTTATGAGGTACTTGCCGATTGCTCCTAGACTCCAAAGGTTGTATTTAACAAAAAAGACGGCAAAGCAAATGAAATGGCACTATGAACATCAGACCGAACCGGGTTTGATGGTCCATCCAAGTGATGGTGAGGCTTGGAAGCATTTCGACTCATTGCATCCAGAATTTTCAAGTGAACCACGGAATGTTCGCCTTGGGCTATGCACCGATGGGTTCAGTCCAAATAACTCAAATACAACCCCATATTCATGTTGGCCTGTTTTCCTTTCAATTTATAACTTGCCTCCTTGGATGTGCTTAAAAGAACCATATGTTCAATTAAGCATAATTATTCCTGGAAAAAAGAGCCCAGGTCAAAATATAGATGTGTTTCTCAGGCCGCTAATTGACGAGTTAAAGATGCTATATACAGATGGTATTGTGACTTATGATGCTTCGACTAAATGCAATTTCACAATGAAAGCTATACTTCTTTGGACAGTTAGTGACTTTCCTGCTTATGCAATGTTATCGGGATGGAGCACACATGGCAAGTTAGCATGTCCGTATTGTATGGGTGAGTCGGGGTCATTTCGGTTACACCATGGTAGTAAACCATGTTGGTTTGACTGCCATCGAAAATTTTTACCTGAACAACACACATATAGGGGTGATAAAATAGGATTTCTGGCTAATAAGGTTGAGCGATCTAGCCCCCCACCAATATTAACCGGTGATCAAATTTGGGAGCAAGTACGACACTTTCCAACTGTTTATGAAGGCAAACCTTTTAGAGCGAAGAATGCAAAATTGCCTGGTTTCGGGATTACTCATAATTGGGTTAAGAGGAGCATCTTTTGGGAGCTACCATATTGGCGGAAGTTGTTAATACGACACAACCTTGATCCCATGCACATTGAGACAAATGTGTTTGAAAATCTTTTCAACACCGTGATGGACACTCCAAAAAGCAAAGACAACATGAATGCAAGAAAAGATATAGAAATGTATTGCAATCGAGTGCAATGGCATACATGGAAGAAGGGAAATAAGGATATGAAAAAGAGAGCATCGTTTTCTTTGAGCAAAGAACAAGTAGCTAAAATATGCCAATGGTTGATTAAACTTAAATTCCCGGACGGATACGCCTCAAACTTGGGGGGGTGCGTTAATGTAGATGATAATAGCTTTTACAAATTCAAGAGTCACGAGTGCCATGTATTTCTTCAAAGATTGTTGCCTATTTCTCTAAGAGGTATGGTGCCAAACTCAACATGGGATGCAATTACAGAGTTGTGTACATTCTTTCGTGTAATATGTTCAAGGGTGTTACGCGTAGATGACTTACAACGCTTGCAAACTACTATTGTTGAAACCATTTGCAAGTTGGAAAAAATATTTCCACCTGGATTCTTTGATTCAATGGAGCATCTTGTTATCCACTTAGCTCGAGAAGCTATGCTTGGTGGTCCGGTTCAATATAGGTGGATGTATCTTTATGAAAGGTATATTTTTTACCATACAAAATATTCTACCATAAAACCTATGGAATTTCTAATAAGTCTTTTCCAACATCTTCTTAGGAAATTGGGATCAATGAAAAGAAAGATAAAAAACCATGCAAAGGTTGAGGGGTCCATTGTTGAGGCTTACATGATTGGAGAAATATCGACTTTTTGCTCACAATACTTTTTGCCTACAATTGAAACCCGGTTGAATCGTGAGTCGCGTAATTTTGCCCCAGACATTCCTAGTTATACCATGGTCGACTCTCGATTAAGCATTTTCAAAGTTCCATCTCGAAGATTATTCGAAAAAAGTGGTCAACGGAGGCCTTTGACAGATGATGAGATGCGTATTGCTCATAATTACATCTTGATCAATTGTGTTGAGGTTCTACCTTTTTTAAGGTATGTCAAGTTATCTATTTTTCCTTGATTTCGTGAAACTCTAAAATTTTTGTTATTTTTTAAGGTTGTTTGAAAATTATGTGATCCAAAGCCAACCTGATATGGATGATGGAGCATTTGAAAGGTTTAGGGATCAACATTTTGCTAAGTGGTTTAAAGATCATGTGAGTATGATACGAGAAAATTTTGTATTACCAAAGTGTATTCCCCTGTGAATTAGTTAACAAATGAATTTATCAATGTAGGTTTTTCAACAATCAAATTATATCAATCAACATTTGAAATGCCTGCACGAGGACCATTACGACATGTTAGGTCATATAAAGGATACTTTGTCAATGGTTACAAGTTTCATACTGAAAAATATGGTGATGGACGGGTCACACACAATAGTGGTGTATGTGTAAGAGGTACTTGTTACAATGAGACTGAGTGTGACTATTATGGGTTGTTGGATGAGGTCTTGGAAGTAGAATATCAAGGCATAGGGCGTTGTGTCGTAGTATTGTTCAAGTGTACATGGTTTAACCCTACTGAAGGGGTACGTGTGGATCGAAAGCATAATTTGGTTGATATTAAATACAAATCAAGGCTAAGAAATGAAGATCCGTTTATCCTAGCGTCACAAGCAGAACAAGTGTATTATGCACCATATCCTGCAATGAAGGATTTGAAAGATTGGTGGGCTGTCGTCAAGACGAAACCAAGGGGTGTATATGATCTACGACAATGTGTTACTGAAGAAGATGATGATGAGGATGAAGAGGACCAATTCTTTCAAGAAAGTGAAGCGACTTTACCTTCTACAAGTAGCGGTGCAAATGAGGTGGCAGGACCCCTTTCTCATGTAATTGAAGGAGAAATAGAAGAAGTTAATGACAATGACATTGAGAGAGAAGAGGATGAAGAAGTTGATGATAACTTGGATGATTCATCCGAAGATGATATTGAAGATGAAAACATATGTGATGATAATTCTGATGATGAGTAATTACTAAAAATGTAGAACGAAACAATGTATTTGGAACTATATATTTTACCTAATGGACCTTATAAATAACTTTTTAGCTAAAATGATCGTTTTCTTTTTCTATATACATTGCACTTTCATTTATTTGTGTATTATAGCATGTTACCTTCTCTTACTTCTATAATTTTCTATTATAATACATACTTATTCTAACCAATAGTTTATTAATTCTTGATTTTAAGGGTTATTTTTTGACTAATGGCGCAACGAGGAGCCCGTGGTGGTGGTCGCAGTGGTAGTCACATTAGTGGTCGTGATGCTGGAGATAGAAATGCATCCCAATCATACAATGATGCAGAAAGTCAACCTTCTTCTTCAGTTAGAGGATCAAACATCTTAGAACAAGTTCCAAGTAACCCATCAAAAAGGAAGTTCATTGAAGTCGATTCTGAAAAGGAGTACTAAAGTTAATTTTACAATTGTTTATGAAAATGAATTTACTTGTTAATGATAATACTAATGCTAATTTTTTAATTTTTAATTTTTTGCAAGATTTACGGATCAGATTTCAGTGATCAGAGCCATCACATGTATACTGAAGACGATGTTTGACGGCCCATGGACCTCATGGAAGAAGGTTGACAAAGAACATCGTGATGCAATGTGGGAACACTTCAAGGTTTGTACTTATTATTTTTATGATTTATCAAAGTAAAAATTGGTATAAAGTGAAAAAGATAATTGTATGCGTGATCTACATGTAGGGTTTGTATGTTTGGCCCGAAGAGACTGATGTTCTTGCTCGCAAGGTATGGGAAGACTGTATGAAGAAACGATTTCCTGACGTAATGCGAAGAGCACGTGAAGCATCTTTAAAACTTGCCAAAGCTGCAAATGTGAATGCCTCACTAGAAGGTGATTTAAATTTGCTAAAGGACTATCGCCCAAATTGGATAAAAAAGGAGTATTGGGAAAAAATGATCAATGAAGTGTGGACCACATCCAAATGGAAACGTTTATCACAATCAGGGAAAAATAACAGAAATAAATTAGAAGATGGCTCTGTTTCCAAACATACCGGGGGTTCTATATCTATTCGTCAACATAAGAAAAGAATGGTAAGATGTTTGCATCTCACGTTAGTTTCCACTTAGATTGTTGAGTTTTTGTTTTGTTTTTTAATGTATTACTAATGGATTTTGTAGCAAGCAATTCTTAAACGCCCTCCTACAGGAGTTGAACTTTATGCAAGGTTGCACACTAAACGGTCTACTCAAGAGTACATTACACCAAAGGCAGCTAAAGTTAAGGTATTTTCAATTCTTTTGTAGGAAACAAAACTTCCTACTACTCGGGTTAATGACTTTGTTAAAGCAACTAATTGACAGAAAACAAATCTTTCGTAAGTAGTAATCAACTAAATGTTTGATCCTCTGCCTAGTTGTAATTAAGTGTTTTGTAAGTAGTAATCAACTTTATGCAAGGTTTGAGTATTATGAATTTAATGGGATGGAATGAACCATTCTATTCCTTATTTCATGTTACTATTTTTTCATATTTTTTTTTGCTATAATAGGAGGCTTATGAAAGTGCTATGGTGGCTAAGTTTGGTGATGATACTAGTTGCCACCCCCTCTTGGATAATGAAACATGGTGTGATGTTTCCGGAGGAGTCAAGAAAGGAAGAATATATGGATTCGGATCTGTGTCTGATCCAGCGAGCTTTTTGGAAGGAACATCTAGTACAATAACATCCCAAGAGGTTCGTTTAATTTTGTACTTTATAAAAATTTCCTATCATAGCATTGTACTTACAAAGTTTCCTATCATGGCATTGTACTTGCAAAGTTTCCTGTCATGGCATTGTACTTACAAAGTTTTCTATCATGGTATTATACTTACAAAGTTTCCTATCATGGCATTGTACTTACAAAGTTTCCTATCATGGCATTGTACTTACAAAGTTTTCAATCATGGTATTGTACTTTAGGTTGTCTATGAACGTGTACGAAACGAGATGCGTGGCGAAATGGATGCTAAAGCTGCAGAAATGGAAGCTAAACATCAACAAATGCGTGAGGAAATGGATGCCAAAGCTGCAGCAATAGATGCCAAACAACAACAATTGATGCAAAATATGAAGCAATGGAAAAGATGTATGCAGCCTTGCAAAATATGATGGGAAATTGAAAAGTAAAGGTAATATGATGTTAACCATTAGTATTTGATGTTTTTGAATGACTTGTTAACCTTTTGTATTTGATGTTTTTGATTGTTTTGAATAATGTTTTATAGGAATGAGAACCGAAGATGATTGGATGGACATGAAACGAAGATAGCAGCTAAAATGTTATTTTGAAGGTTAAACTTTTTTCTGTTTGTACCTCTTTTGCATACTTTGGATTTCTTGGTTCTAAAATGTTATTTTGAAGTTAAATTGTTGGGAGTTTGATGTTATGTGGATAGTTTCGTTTTTGGATGTTTCTTGAATGACACTTTGGTAAACTTTGATAATTTTGGTATTGTAATGCTTGGTTGTATCATTATTTGATGTTCTTTAGTATAATAATTTGATGATTGTAGTATTTTTTTTCTTTTAGAATCATAATAAAAAAAATGATATTACAAGTTCGTGGTGAGAAAATAAAAAGTATTTTAATGCATGAATTTTGCGAGGGATTAGCTACGGAAAAAAAAAATCATGTCTAAAGTGCGACGGATCAGCGACGGAAAGGAAAAAAATTTAATGTATGAATTTTGCAAGGGATTAGTGATGAAAAAAATTCATGTCTAAAGTTTGCGATAGATCAGCAACGGAAAAAAAAAATAGTATATGAATTTTGCAAGGGATTAGCTACGGAAAAAAAAAAACTGTTCATGGAAATTTGCGACAGAACAACGACGGAATGCATTGAGTGACATTTAGTGACATTTAGCGACAGATATTCTGTCGCTACCTTTGTGGCAAGGAAAAACCCAATCCGTCGCTAAAACCGTAGCTGAGAAATTAGCCACCTTTTTATTACCTATGGAGTGAATCTGTCGCTGATCCATTGCAAACAGCATTTAGCGACGGAATAGCGACAGATTTTTCCATCGGTAAAACCCATGTTTCTAGTAGTGACATGAATGGATTGATCTCATATTCGGGTGGGCCCTAATTTATTCATATTCTAATATCGGTGGGTTTTATATTGTTTTAATGCTTTTGACTTTGTAAAAGGCTGAAATAAATCAATTTGGATGATAGTTTTGTATGCCATTTACATTCATTCTCCATTTGTGGGTTTTATTTTGTTCCAAATCTGATTATTTTGACCTTAATAATCGGAATTTTTCCTGAAACACATCATAACTAATTATTTAGTTTAAATGCATATCCAAACACCATGTAAATACTGTGTAGACAACATGACATTTACATCAATTCTTTGTATGTCAGGTATAAGCAGCGAGGAAAAGACGCTATTTCAGCAAATGATGTATAAACATCACATATGAAGGGACTGTAGATATAGATAAAATCACTAATCCAGTAAGTCTTCTTGTTAGTCGATTGATTAAGTTTTTTTTATATGTTTCTTTTCTTGAGGTTCTTCAAATGCAGGTATAGTTATTAATGGCTGCAGTTGATGAGCATGGTATAATTTATGTAGTTCGTGGTAGTGACCATATTCCAGGCATAAATAACTCAGTTGAGAAGTCTCTACCACAGTTTCAACAATTAAGGTACTACACATTGGTTGGGTGGGAGGTTAGAGGTGCTGATATAAGCCACCAGAGGCTACATAATAATCTTTCTAAGGACAAAATGGGAAGTAGAGTTATTACCTACTTTGAGAAGTATATTTCTTCCAATATATAAATATAGAAAAGATGATATCATATGTCTTTCCCCAGCTAGAATCAACAAGCTTAGTAAAAAGCATAGTACAGTTGTCCATTTCAACTACCATGTAGACTTGACTACGATTATGAATGATGGTGTTCAGGAAGAGGAAGTTACTCTAGGAGATGCAGTTGGGTGTGTGTTTCATGGATGTTTTTATTTGGTCACATTAGAGCGTATTTCTATAATTCTACAATCTAATTCATTAGAATCAACTTCTGGTTGTATTCCTATTGAAGCTATCAGATACCACATATATATTATATATTTTCACAATACATTTAACATTTTATGCCTTTATTTTACATTGATGAAGGATGGTAAAGCTTGAGACAGTGCAAGAATGTGAAGAACTAAAGAAGAAATGTTTGAATCTTCACGCACTTTGTTGCACCTTTTTTTAGTTGCCCACATGTGTGTGTGTCTATATATATATATATATATATATATATATATATATGTATGTATGTATGTATGTATGTATGTATGTATGTATATATGTTAAGGAAATGCAACTAACAAGTCGTACATATATATTTTTGTCATCAGGAGACAAGTTCTTCCAACAGTTCCACACCTTTTGGATTCTATCCAAGTCATTATTTCACCCAATTTATCCTACCCAAACTTATTTTAATTTTGTCACACACACACATTTTCTAATAATCAAAGATATTATGTATGAAAATAACATGTTTATTTTTGTTATTTTATTATTCAAATTCGAAATTCTTGACTTTTGACCAAGCTTTTGCTGAGATGCATTATGCTGATTTGTCCTCAAAGCCTTTCTTTAATGGACTCGTTGGGTATATCATCTTTGGCCTAGTTGTTTCCATGGTTTGAGAGGGCAAAAATGCCATTCATGGTTGATATATAATATATTATCAGATTGTTTACTTTTCATATTATAGGATGTTTGTATTGTCCTGCCTTGCTATGTATTGTGTATAATTGGACTAATTGTGGGAAGCTATTATTATTTGATTTTTTATTGATATATTTTCAGTTGGGGTTAGTAATTGATCTTATAAATACGCCTCATTATTAGTCTATGAATGATTGGAAGAAAGAAGGCATCAAGTATGTTATGGTTAGTTTCTAAATACCTTATACTCATCAATTTCTGGAATATAGATAAATTATGTTTAAAGGTTATTTGAGAAAATGAAAGAAAAAAAAACGATGGTAAATTCATAAAAAGTTAGGACTTAATGAATAAAGGGGAAAGTCAAAAATCATCAAAGTCCCTTATAGGTGTAATTTCATATTATTCACAGCTTTTAGACATACATATGTCTTTCCTCCAAGACCTCATCCTTTAGAAAATGGAACCAAAGTTGGAAATAAAATCAACTTGACATGTATACCATCTCTTGAATCATTCTTGTGTATACATGTATACCTCATCTTTTGAGGTACTTTTTATTGTATTTTTTTTGTACAGGTATGGGCTGTATTGAAGCTTGGATTCTTGGAAAAAAGTATGTTACTACTAATGTATTGATGATGAAACCAGGTATCTGTGGAAATAGAAGCATAACAATAAGAAGTAGAAACAAGAACGTGTTCCTTAATAGAAATGTAGTATTAGGTTATATAGTTAGGGAAAACCTCTTAATAACAATGTACAATCAAATCCCCTTAATACCAATGTGTAAGTCCTTAATTTGCCTGTGTATCAATCAGATCCGTTTGATGGTGCGGAATCCCAATCAAACGGATGATGTCAGATCAAATAGAAGAGAAGGAGAAGAAAAATATATGAATCTATGTATGATATGATTAGAATGCTGATCCGGATACAAGATTCACACACACAAAGCTTCTCTCAAGTTTCTCTCTCTAGAACACCTTCAAATGCACACACCTAAGCTCCTTGGTGTTCATCAATCTTTCCTCACACCCCTCACCCCTATATATATATATATATATATATATATATATATATATATATATATACATATGAGAATATGGGCCGGTGGACATGGGTTTACGGCCGTAAACACCTCCCTGGCCGTAAACTTGAACGTAAACACATAAGATATTACATAAAAATACAATTTCCTAGAAAAGCAAAGTATAAACCATAATATTGACCCAACAATCCCCCGCTTGGTTTATAGCTTTCTTTTCTTTTCTTAAATGACCCAACAAGCTCCCCCTAAAAAGTAGATGGCTCTTCTTGTTAATCTTCATTGGGAACTTTGCTTCAGCATTAATCTTCAAATTCTTCACAACTTCAAGATAAACTTGATGAATCTTCAATGAATGACTTCATCTTGAGCAGTTGGCCTTTTCTTCAGTATTTGGCATTAAACGCACATTGGGTGTGGAGGCTTGATGTACTGATTCTTGAAAGATAGCGCTTTCAGCTTGAGAATCTTCAGAGAGAACATCAGAGAGAACTGAACTTCTAGATCACTTCAGCAGGAACAAAGATAGCAGCACACTGATTGAGGAGGCTTCAATGCAATCTGTCACATATTCTTCAATTCCAACTTCACCTTGCTTCTGGGGTTGAAGGATTGAATGATGAAAGAATAATCTTCATTTCTTGCTCCTTCGAATGCGAATTCTTCGATGCTCACGTATGAGGCTTTGGCTCGGAAATCTTCAACACAAACTCCATGAGTCTTATCTATACCTAAAATCACTTTTCAAGACAAAACAAAACTAAAAGAAAACTTAGCACAGAAACAAAAATATTTTTGGATTCTTGATTTTTCTGAACAAGAAATAAAACATAAATAACACTATTTTTGGATTTTTTTTTTAAATTTTTCTAGTTTTTCTTTGATTTTTTGAATTTTTCTGATTTTTTTTAATTTTTAATTCTCCCCTAATATTTAAATTAGAAGAAACTATGACAAATTTAACAAAATTAAAAATGATATCTAACTTTAATAGTGATTTGGATCAAAGTTTTTAGACAGTCTTTATCCACTTGTCGGTACCTTCTATCTTCACGTCTTTGTCTGGTCGATCGTCGGTATTGTTGTCCACTTAAACACGAAAAATTGTGACAAATTTAGGACATATTATTTGTTACAAGACAAGGTGAACTTAAGTTCCTAGATATTATATCTGATCCTAATTCCTTAAATACTATGTCTTAAGGACCATTCATCTGACGAAAACCAGCGATATTGTTGTCCACCTAAATTGAGCAGCGAGATCTATAGACAATTTGTATGAGTTCAATTTTAAGTGTACTGGAACATGTCTCCCCCTTCCAGATATACCCCAGTAATCAAGGACTTCCAGAGTACTCCTTACATCGGATGAGCAGACCATCATTAGGAGAGCAGATAGATTCAAGGTATTATATATATAAGAGGAATTTCATATGTATATATATATATATATATATATATATATATATATATATATATATATGTGTGTGTGTGTGTGTGTGTGTGTGTGTGTGTATAATATGCAAAGAGATAGATTAGCATATGTTACAGTCCAGGTCGGATCTCTTCCAATCACGTAGAGGAGGTAACATATGACTAACAGACAGAAAGAAAGAAAATGATTTTCTACAGACCTAATTTATCGGAATTTACCAGTTGCCCCATCAATACCGGAATTAAGGACAGAATCCACACATGGAGGAAAAGTTAAACCACAGTTCCAAGTACGTGTTCAATTAATGTGACGAGTAGATTCCCATATATCTCCCTGCTCAACCTATCCGAGCGTCGTATTGCCAGGCTAAATGGATCTAACTAGATCAAGATTTGTCAAGTCTATAAATTTCCTAAGTTCAACTTTGCCTAGTCATGTCCATTTTAAAATTTTTCGTGCCTACCGACGCATCAAGTCAGAGCATAGACCCTTCAACTTTGGGTACCTTATGCAGACTCAGGTTGCATGTTATCACTTGATAATATCACTTCCCAGAACATCTCCCTCAAGCACATATCATCACCAACATATTTTTGGATTTTCTAATTTTCTAATGTTTTTGGGTTTTTCAAATTTTCAAAATTTTCAAATTTTCAAAATTTTGTTTTGTTTTTATTTCTCCCCCTAAATTTGTGCATATGAGAGAAACGAAAGTAAATACGCAAATTTAAACTATCCTAAAACAAAAATTAGTCTTTAAAGTGAATCAGCTTAAGAAAAACTCAGGAGTATAGAGAAGAAAACTCAAACCGTAAGTCACCGATTGAATTTGCATCCAGAAGGTCTGAGAACAGCACGCGTAATCTCAGAACAGATCCAAAAATTCTTCACATCGTTAAGCACTAAACCCATGAGTGATC